CCCTGAAATTTTAATAATTGGCATGGCTTACAATGCCTTATATTCTGGATATTGAGTATCTATTGTACATGGAATGTGAACAGATGGCAGAAGGTACAGAAGAGCTGCCAGGAAGAGCAGTGGATGGGGAAGCCATCTGAGGAGGTGGACACACACAGAGCCCGGTGTTGGGAGATGGGGCCCTGTCTCATGCTATGGCCTGAATGTTTGTGTCCTCCCCAAATTCATATGTTGGAATCCTAAAGCCCAAGTTGATGATGGTATTAGGAGGTGGGACCTTTGGGGGTGATTAGGTCATGAGGGTGGAGCCCTCATGAATGGGATTAGTACCCTCGTAAAGGAGGCCCCACAGAGCTGCCTACCCTCTTCCACATTGTGAGGTGGCAACAAGGTGAATCGGGAAAAGGGTCCTCACCCAACCATGCTGGTGCCCTGATCTTGGACTTGTGGCCTCTAGAACTGTGAGAAATAAATGTTTGTTGTTTATAAGCCACCCAGTCTATGGTATTTTGTAGCAGCCAGAACAGACCAAGACACCCCATGTGGTCTCTCTCTGCCTGCGTGGGGGAAGTCATCCCAACACTCTTGGCTCTATTTCCTCGGGTGTGAGATTATCGAGGCTCTTTCATGTTCCACATTCTCAGGGACTCTAATGCCTGTTCATCCTGCTGAGGTGAAACAGCCTTACAGGAATTATTGGTCACTTTTCAGGTACCAGAACACCAGCATTAAACAAGTCACAATCTCTGTAAAGAATGATAAAAACATTTATCAGGGATATTGGTGTGTATTTATAGCCACGGCTTTGAAAATACAGTTTGCAGGGGTTGAAATTTCCATTTCACCTAAAGAAACTGCAAACTTCTAGTTATAAGATAAATAAAGTCAGGTTCTTTTTTTTTTAATATAAATTTATTTATTTATTTATTTTTGGCTGCGTTGGGTCTTTGTTGCTGTGCATGGGCTTTCTCTAGTTGCCGCGAGCGCGGACTACTCTTCCTTGCAGTGCCCGGGCTTTTCACTGCGGTGGCTTCTCTTGTTGTGGAGCACGGGCTCTCAGTGCACAGGCTTCAGTAGTTGTGGCTCGCGGGCTCTAGAGCACATGCTCAGTAGTTGTGGCTCGCGGGCTTAGTTGCTCCGCGGCATGTGGGATCTTCCCAGACCAGGGATCGAACCTGTGTCCCCTGCACTGGCAGGCAGATTCTTAACCACATGCTCAGTAGTTGTGGCTCACGGGCTTAGTTGCTCCGCGGCATGTGGGATCTTCCCAGACCAGGGATCGAACCTGTGTCCCCTGCACTGGCAGGCAGATTCTTAACCACTGTGCCACCAGGGAAGTCCCAAAAGTTCTTTTCACAAGAAAAAAATTCTGTAACTACGTATGGTGACAGATGTTAACTACACTTAATTTGTGGTGATTGTTTCGCAATATATATGAATATGGAATCATTATGTTGTACAACTGAAAATAATATAATGTTGTATGTCAAGTATACCTCAATTAAAAAACTCTAAAGACAAAAAAAAACAACTGTGGAACTATGAAATAGTTGAAAAATCACCACACATTTCTACCTTTAACTGTACTCATTTTTATCCCCTTTTCCTCCAAATACAGAGGGTCTGAAAAAGTAAAAGTTTAAGAGGATAAACACAAGAAATCATAGAGTTTTATCATACTTGTGGCTGGATTATTTTTAGGTTTTACGGTCTCTTTCCGTTTTGGTTCCAGCCTCATTTTCTTGGGCACTTTGCCTCACTGTTTTAGCATTATGTGTGTTAGTTTATACTAAATAAAGTTCCCTAAAGCACAGGGTCTCTGTCATTTAAATGATGTTGCATATCTCCCAGCATGGTTTAGGGCACATAAATTCATTTCTTTCACAAATTCCTCCAAGTCCTGCAGCCAGACCCAAACCACAAGAAGATACCTGGTTCTTTTCCCAGTGAACACTGCCCATCTTTAACTCTGAGTCACACTACAGCTTGGAAAACAACTGCACCTCGAATTTTCCGTCCTAACTAGGGGTTTTCAATGTGAAGCTTCATAAAGCAAGAGACCAGGTCCTGGAGTCAAGCAGACCTTGTTCCCAGGCTCCTACCTTCTGGCTAGTGGCCCATGGAGTGTTCTGACTCACGCCCCGAACACAGCTTAGCTAACACACATACTGTCTACACCAGGCACATCACAGCCTTCTTGCACTTAGGAAAGCTAAACAGCGCTTCAGCACTGCGCTTGGGGGCCGTTTTCAGCAGCAAAATCACCAACAAAAAGCACAGAACTGCAGAAAATGTGGCAATAAGCGGACTGTAAACTAGGGACACTTATTTACAGTCTGAGAGCTGAAACAAGAAGGCAAAGCATCGCCCAGTTCAGCCTTGGCTGGGAACACACGTGTTGGGCAACTCAGACTTTTCATTGCTCCGTGCTTGTCTGTGAATGATCTCGAAAGCCCAGTGAGGGGTGATTTGGGGGTTACAAATAAATTTTAGCCAACAGGCAGATTCATCAATATGGAATCCTCAAATGATGAGGATTAACTTATATTTGACTATGCTCTGAGGTTATTTATCTCTAGTGTATCTGTTTGCTGCAAATATAACTATGTGCTACTGTGCATATCTCCTAACTTTTGTGTGCGGTGATATCACTTTAGTTGCTTGAAACTGGCCACAGGGGAATATTTACACCGTGGATATGGACAAATGCTGCAAATCAGAGCTTGATTTGTTGATTGTACAGAGTTAAGAAAGCGATGGAGAAAAGTTAATAGTTCAGATTAAACTTAGAACTGTATCATGTCTGGAGCCATTACACTGCCAGTTAACACACACAAAAAATCGAGGAATTATTCTTACAGCGTTCAAAAACTATTATGATCCAGCAAAGAAGTCACTCCATGATTGATCAGTGAGCGAAGTTCTGACATGTATCTTCGTTGTTTCAGTTACATTAATTAATCATTAATGTAAAAAAAATCAACAAGTGTTTATGTCACAACTACATCCTTCTGTCAATTGCAACAGGTTGGCTCTGACTGAAATCAATGAAAGCATTCTGTGAGAACGAATTATCCAATGGAATTGACAGTTATGCATTTTATTATGATTTGTAATACATTTTTAACTTAAATGCATTCATTTCCAGAGAGCTGGCCGTGTAAGTGACACACCACTGATTCTAGCTGAGTGACCTCGATTACCTAATCCCCAGCCTCCGTGTAGTTAGGTGTAAAAAAATAAAATAAACCTCACAAGATTTTGAGAATTGAATGCATTATTGTTTCCAACATAATGTTTCCAGGTAGAGACTCAACAAACGTCAGCCCCATCTCCTCACTCACCTCACCAGGGGTTCAGAAGCAGCATCTGAGGCATCCCTGTACACACTCACCTGTCTTCCCAGACCTGGCCGCAGAGAGCTGTTTGACTAAAGTCTCCTTAAGAGGCAGGTGAAAACTCACCACTAGGTGGCATAAGCAAGGTGCTTTTGAAGGCTTTAGTTCTTCACACAATATAATTGATTCGGAACACGGAACACTGCGATGAAAAGATAAATACAATGTTTAAAGCCCACACAGTTAGGGTGCCTTTTCCAGGCAACTCTAGTGTGGTGACCAATCTTGGCTCCCCCAGCAAAAACATTAGCCTCTGAACCTCCTTTTGGACGAGCGTAAAACGAATGAGCTTCATCTTCGGCAGAACCAATTTCCCTTTGGTAAACCCACTGTCTTGTCTTTCTAGGGACATAGCGTCTCATGACCACTGCTGGCTGCTCTACACCTTCCATAATCCTGGTCGACCCAGGTATGTCCCACCTAATGAGAAGGAATCAGAAAAGCCGCCCCCCCCCTCCACCGTCTTCCTGCTCAATCTCCCATCATCAGTACTGACAGGTAACAGGTCACCTACAAGTCACACGTAACATGCATTGTAAACGAGGCTCTTCTGGAAACTAATGTTTTAAGGAGATTATGGCATTAGCAGCGCGGCAAAGGCAAAGGGGACCTTCTGGCATTCCCCCATCACCCATGTCTGACCTGGGTATGCTGGGAGAGGCCGCCTACGTTCTTACCTGGAATTTTAGTGGCATCCGCCAGGGTTCACCTGCCACCTATTGGTGAGAATGTTCACTCCCAAACAGTCACTCACTTGTTAAACCCCAGACTCCCATGCATTCATATGCTTCAACACTGTCAGGGACTCTCTCAACCATTTTAAAAGCAAAACACTAGACATCAGCATTTGAAAATTAAAATCGTAAAAATCAGCTTGACTCATTTTTCTGCCTGTGTGAAATTCATGAATAAAGATTTTATAACGAAGCTTATATAGCTTAATTTATTTCCACCAATCTGTGCTATATTCTGACGGCTCCAGTAATGATTTTGATTAATAGTTTCACACATCTGGGATGGTTCTGGTCATTTGAACGACATCTTTTTGAAGCTGGATCAACACTGAACATAAAAGAAAACATTCGTTTTTTGTAAAGTGTGGAAACACAATAAAATGTTACCTTGTATTCTTGAATGAAATTAAACAGCAAGGTGGATTTTTAGGATTTAACCATCATGTCAATTCCTAGGCATCTATGTGTTAGTCTTTTTTGTTTGTTTGTTTTTTATTGGAGTATAGTTGATTTACAACGTTGTGTTAGTTCTCCTGTAGAGCAAAGTGAATCAGTTATACGTACACATATATCCACTCTTTCTTAGATTCTTTTCCCATATAGGCCATTACAGATTATTGAGAAGAGTTCCCTGTGCTATACAGTAGGGCATTATTAGTTATCTATTTTATCTATAGCAGTGTGTATATGTCAATCCCAATCTCCCAATTTATCCCTCCCCCCACCATGTGTTAGTCTTTGAATATAAATCCAACAACTGGCCTTGCAGACTACCAAGGGATGAAGAGAGAATTCTTAATGGCAACTCTAAAACCAATTATGGCTCAGAATGAATGAAAAGGACCACAAGACAGGTTTTTGGTTTTTTTTAAGAGTTTATTCTGAGTTTTCATTTTTGGATAACCAAGCAGCTCTTTAAGAATGCACAGAAGAGTCATTCTGGCACTTTTGGATAGTACATAAGATTTGTTTAATAGTCACATTCAGTCTACTTGCTCAGCCCATACTCTTGTGTTTGGTAAGCAAGATCAGCCCATAGGATTCCAGAGTTAATACATAACCATATATACAAACAGCCAATAAAACCATAATGGTGCCTAGTGGCCAAAAGGATGGCGGAGGGAAGGGGATCGCTAAAGTGTCCTCTAGGCTAGCTTAGCTAAACAGAATCCACGTCACATGTGAGAACGACAGAATACACTGAGCTGAAGTGAGAATTCGGAGCACGAATGGGCACTTGGCGGCATGCAGTTGAAAGAAAGGGGGGATCATTTCATAACTTTATAAAATCCAGGCAGTTCAATTAAAGAAGTTAAGAAAAACAAACGAAAAAAAGCAAAGTAAGGGACTGTCTGTTGTCACTGTAAAAAAGGCACTTGGAGTTAATGGGACCAGAAGTGAAGGACTGGCAGCTGATAAAAACTTCAGTACGATTTCATTAAGAGGCTTGGATGTTCAGAGGTGACACTCAGAAGTTCCTGAAAGGAGATACCGAAATAAACCACCAAGAAGCAGACCAGGTGAAAACGAAGGAATAAATTCCTTACAACCAAATTGTGTGTGTGTGTGTATGTGTGTGTGTGTGTTTAACAAAAGCAAATCGGAAACGAAACCTAGCCAAAGCAACAATCTAAGCAAAGTAAGACCACGAAGCAGCGATGCATAGTTTTCCTTTGAGATAATGCATACCTCCAGACACTAAGTGCCAAGCTAATTTCTCAATAATAACTTCACAGGAGCATTATTGTGATAGAATGGATTCAAGCAATGCAAAAAGAGTCTCATCTGTTCCCATAATCTGCGGGAGAACTGAGGTTATCATCAGAACTCAGCGACATCACGTGAGGTTTTTTGGTGTCCTCGGGGGTGGACACATCAAGTACGGGGAACGACGCGTACATTCTGACACTCCGTTCGGCCATCTCCCTGGAGGCGACGCATTCTTTCTTCTGAGTAAGAACTTTACTTCCAAACACTTTGACAGTAACTGCAGAAAAATGTCCACTTCCCACGGCGGACGTGGTTCCACTTCCTCCGCAAACAGGTCAGCGCTTCCGTAAGAAAGAATTTTTGGCAACTGGATTCTAGTCCCCCTGTTGGGCGGCTCGGGGCCGCTCATTTGATGTTGAACGCCATCAGGGGTCGCTCCTCCCGTTTCTGCCACGGGCTCTTCTTGCCTTCGCCCTGGTCGTCCTCATCATCTTCGTCGTCGTCGTCCTCCTGAGCGGATCGCCTCTTGTCGGGACTGGCCGATGGCGCCGGGGGTACGTCGGAGGTTCGTTTCGTCGTCTCCTCCTGCAGGCTGGGCAGCTGGCCGCCGCTTCTCCGGCTGGAGCTGTCCAGCAGGCACCGCAGGGCACTGTCCTCGGGCGTCCCGACCGCGGTGCCGCCCTCGCTGCCGCTCTGGTCCATGTCGTCCAGGTACACGAGCTGCGTGTAGGCCGAGCTGTCCGCGGCCCGCGGCTCTTTCTGCGCATGCTCCTGGACTGGTGGGCGGTTCTGTGGCAGAGACAAGGGGTCTCCTCTTCCCTTTCGAGCAGATTTGGGTTCATTCATATCCACGCCAGAATCCAAACTGGCATCATTGCTCCCGTTCCTCCCAGCTCTTTGGAGATCAATGTAGGAATGTCTGACGTGTGCATTGGACCGGCCGTCCAGGGACACGAACCAGGCCCGGGGGTGGGGAAGGGGCTTCCCACCCCCAAGTTCCAACAGCGCCTTTTCGGTCAGTAGCTGAACCTCGCTGTTCATCTGAGCCAAGGCCGCGTCGTTCAGGGATGCTGGGATGGAGAGGGACTCGGACATGGACGCATTCTGCGGGGTCCACTCCCGGGTGCCCGCGTCCTGTAGGTGCTGCTGCGAGATGGCCTGGCAAGATAAGGGCTGGGCCTGGATCTGTGAGGAGGCGTGTGGGAAGATCCCCGCGTGAGGGCTGGAGAGCTCGGCCTGCAGTCTCTCGATCTCGAGCTGCTGGTCGGCTGGGACAACCAGGGGCTGGCCCACATACGAATGGTCCCCTGGGAGTTTCATGTAATGAGCCGGGATGACCAAGGCGGGTAATACTTTCCTGTAAACGCTGTCATTGACCTGATCCACGGAACTACAGCAGATCAGCTGGCCGGGCCGCGGGAAAGAGGTAGGTCTCTCCAGGTGGTCTACTGATCGCGACATCATACATTCAGTAGGTCTGCGTTCCATCAGCTGGTCTTTCTCCGGAGATGAAGGTGCGGGGTACATGTGTTCCTGAATGGTGAGCTTACTTCCTGTGGAAATGTGGGTCACGGAGGCCTGCCCGTCTCTGTCTTGCTTTTCAAATAAAGGCTGCGAGAGCATGGCATTGTAATTCCTCCTGTAGTCACTGCTGCCGGGGGACTCATAGCCTTCCCTTTCCACAGATTTCCTGGCCTTTAAGGGGAAAATCTCCACCGACTTACAGTAGTCTTTTCCCAACGTCCCACTTGGTGTCAGGTTGTCAAAGGAGATTTGGCTTTTATCCTCCTCCTTGTGAGACAGGAGTTCCTCCCGAGAGCTGAACTCCTGCGAGGTGCTGTAGGAGAGCTTCAGCATGGGCGTGTGCATGTCCACCTCCCCGCTGGAAGACATCATCTCTAAATGGACTCCGCTCATCAGCTCCTTTGAGCCTGGGGCGTCGGGGGGGCGGCCCTGGCTGGTGACGGAGAGCGGGCCAGGGAATTCTGATTCCCGCCGAGAAAACAGCAGGTTGATGTGTGACATGGAAGTTGACTGATCCCTTTTGGAACTCTCCAGGGTGGCAGGAAGTTGCAGTTTTCTATGGTGCTGGCGGGGTTTCAAGCACTTCCGCCTGCGATCAAAGATACAAACCCCAAGATTAAAGATTCTCAGAACAGTGAAGGTTCAAGTCGAAACCTAATTCTCAATTCCCACAGGAAGAAACAAGACAACACAATGAATTGGCAGCCAGAAGCCTTCTCACCCCGCACCCTCAGCCCTAGTTTGATTCTGAGGGTCGCAATGTGCAGATTTTACCCCAAGTACATCCAAGTTATCCATTCAAAAGCAGAGTCGACGATAAACATTCTTGCAAGTCGATCAGATGAGGCATCAAAATAAGAATAGTTCTGCTGTGTCCTTGAGAATATCATCTCTTCATTACCATTTAGGACTATTCTGAATGAATAATGACAACTTATTTTTTTGTGACCGCCCTTCTAAGAAACATTTTACACAGTGTGCCTCCCACTTTGTTTGCAACTTACGTGACAGATGTTCAGTTCTTAGGTACTTTTTCATGAGAAAAAAAGGACCTTGACTCAGAAAAGGACCTCGATATCAATGCTTGCGCAAGAAATTCCAAATTAAAAGACAGTGCCTCAATGGTAAAACTTTACCTGCAATAATATAAAAGGAGACACAGCAAAACCAAAAGAATGAAAGCCATTCCTCCCAAGATGGCCAAAAGAAACACCGTGTGATACGTGGCGATGTCCTGTGTGACAACGGGACCTAAAAAGTCAGAAAAGGGCATTTGAGATTTGTGAAAACCTTTAAATAAAAAAAGGGGAAATGAACTGACAGCGTGATGTTTTTCTTGCTCTTATTGGCTGGGGTGTGGAGCGGCGGCCATATGCAAACACCCTTTAGATGCAGCATCATCGTAACTTCCCTCAGTGAAAAGGGATTACCCAAACCATCACTAGAGCACTCTGAATACTCAAATTCTATGTGCAGTGTCCAGGGTCCGTCCTTAGCATTGGGTACCATTTTCATCATTCTAAATATGTGATCTTTTAATAAAAGAAAACTAGATGCATGATCATATAATGAGGGGGACTCATCCATTCAGAGACATGGCCTGAAGACCTGGGGATTTTATGATACTGCAGAAGAAAAAAAAAAAAGTCATGAAATTTGATTCTCACTTTCCCTGGGCAATGATTGCTGTGTAATCATTGGCCTAAACCCTTGGCCTAAATGAATCAGTTGAAATGTATGAAATAAATTTCTATGACTTAAAAAAAAATAATCCACAGCTTATTACAGGGGTATCAAGGGTTTCTAAAATGCCTCCCGTTTTAAAAAAATAACATCTTTCTCTCTAGTATCTGTTCAAAATGGCTAACCTGACGTGGCAACAGACCTTTCCAGAACTTACAGACAAGGTGATCAGAGGTAAACATATTTTCTTTTTAATCTACATTAAAATCCATTAGAATCCATTAAATTAAATTGGGATTTAATTTACATTAGAATCCCAAGAGGTAGTTTAACTTACTCCTTAGGTTCAATAGTAGTAAGGATCTATCTTAATGTTGCTAACAATGGATTGACAGCAATAACGAAAACCTCCCCAAATTACAATATTGGGGCACCTATTGGTGTCCAGGTATCTTGGCAGTGCTCCAAAAGATGGGAAGGAAGGAATGTGGTTATATCGTACATTACGTCAGAGGAGCATGGTTATGATTACTAAACACCATAAACACCCATTTATTGATTGATTTTTTATATTCTAAGGGACAGATTTCTTCAAAAATCTCTTAAAAGCTAGATAAATCCAAGGAGACTTGTGGATTTTTGAAAATAGTGACATTACTTAAGTTCAAAAGATGACATCATTCTCTCCCAATTACAAATCATTTCAACGGGGTGAGGGTGAATATTTAGAAAAGTTGGAAAAATTACTGACAACTATCTACCGCCTTAATTGTTCAGAGAAACTTTTCTTTTTCTTTTTTATGACACAGAGACAACCCCACAGACATAGGTAATGCCTTGGCAGGGGTCACCAAGAAATCTGGGGTACACATAAAAATTATTTCCAAATAAATGAAGCTTGGTCCTTTTAAGTACTTAAAATGCTATTATTTTAACTTCTGCCAGTGGAAATCTTGATAAACTTCACAGTCATACTTCATTTCCTTCTTAACCAGAGAATGAAAGAGAAAACTCTATTTTCTTCTTGGTTTTGGGCTCACGAAAGCACAGCATCACTGTAATTTGTTTTAATGTAAGTGACGGCTGTGTGGTTACCAATATACACATTTCTACGTTAAATGCCGTCAGGGCTGTACTATATGTGCTTTTTATGGCTTTTTGTCTCTTCCTTCACTGCTCTCAGGAATCTTGCGTTGACCTACATCTAGCAGTTCTTCCCCTCTTTACAAAAGTATCTATTAATCTGTCGCATGATAGGAACACCGATCGCCATGGTTCTTTGAAATAGATCTAAAATAAAAGTTAACTTTAATGCGCGGGCTTTGTGGTCTCTACTTTGGTACTTAAGGACTTTTTTTCTTTCTTACCTTACTCATAATCATATTCTAGATATTTCAGATTTGGAGACTGAGGCATTTCTGTAGCTGGTTCATGCCTACGTGGCTACAAGAACCATACAGTAAAGGGAAACGCATACTCTTATAACCCAGATGTGAAGTGTACATTTTCCCAGGATTGGACTATAAAGTAAATATAACTGATTTTTCAACACCCATCTAGGGTTGGCCTCCATCAAATTAGTTACTTTGGGAAGTCTAAGTGTTCATCCCAGTGATGATTCCATTGGTAAAGTATTTTGGACTCCCATTTTGGAACTGCCTTCATGGTTAATTGACGAGACAACTTTTAATCATAGCACATTTTGACCTAGCTCAATTACCGACTTTATTCACCAGCCTTGGAGGTGGGTGACTTTTAGATGTGTCTAAGAAAAATCAAAGGGACCCTCTGGGCAAAAAGATTGGCCACCTATGAAGAGTTTCGCTAATGATGACAGTCCAGGGGAAAAAGGTTCTAAAGGCATTTTGAGTACTGGAAGCCATCCACTGGAAAGACTTCTCCTAAGGTGACTATTTTGAAAAAAGCAATTCTAGAATACTCCTAGGGATAAATCAGGGTGGTTCGGTTAAAAAAACCCCAAACTTTTAGTCAAAATATTTGTGAAATTAAACTTCAGTGAAAAAATATGAGTGAATTCATATATCCTAAGTGGAGATGAATATTCTTTTAGATATAAAACAACAGGTTTGCTTTTAAGCCTTTCAGAAATGCCCGATCAAGGTTTTTGCCCCAAGAAACCTCCAACGGTGACTTTCTGCTGGTCCCTCTGGTGAGATTGCCTTATACTACGTGTTCTCTTGCACCAGGCCACAGCTGTTTCAGAAATTAGGGAGGAGGTCTGACCCGCCTCTGTGGGCTTTAGATTGAGAATTCCCTACGGCAGCTGTCTGAGCAAAACAGAGATTCAAGACAAGGCTATTTTCTATGCATTATTCTTATCCTGGATGGGAGAGTTCCAACCAAAACTCCCCCAACCCCCAGGAAAAACCTTTGACTCATCATTTGCTTTTTCACACTTTCAACCATATTTAAGGAAGATGTGATCTCCCTGCTGACATCGCTTTCAAAAGCACACTTAGCCTGAACCCTCAAAGGAATCGGTTCCCATCACTGCAGATTTCAGGGGTCCTGTTACCTGGGTTGGGAGGAGACATGGCTGCCACCCAGTACCCCAACTGAGGGGCGATGTATGTCCACGTCAGCTGGCTGCCTTCCTGGTGCACGAGGCCGAGACCACTCTTCAGCCACGTTCCTGTGGGATGCAGAAAAAACTTCAGCCACATGCACGCTAAACTATTTAAGGCTTAAGCCCATTGTACAAGTCACCTTCAGTGTCGTGTTTAGAACCCATCAGAGAGCCAAAAGGGTCCAGCTCTCACGGAGGGACTGCATTTCGCTTTCAGGAGAGTCGAACTTGTTTTTCTTCCTGATTAAATGACTTTCAGCCACTTTATCACACGTCCCTGCTTCCAAACGCAGATAATTTTAGCAGAAGCTTTTGGAGTTTACTCCTCCACCATCATGTCCCATCTCCTCCGGAAGCCTTAAGGGTTTAGAAGCAGAATAAAGGTAGCATGAAAAGGGCTGGTGGGACGGGAAAGAAGAGGGGAAACTCCAGCTCTGTTTATAGTCTTCAACCTCAAGCAAATAAACGGATTTCCTCTCTGGAATCGCAGACCGGTGACATCAGATTTGCTTGGGGAAGTTTGTTTGTTTTTTTTTTTAAACATCTTTATTGGAGTATAACTGCTTTACAATGGTGTGTTAGTTTCTGCCTTATAACAAAGTGAATCAGCTATACATATACATATATCCCCATATCCCCTCCCTCTTGCGTCTCCCTCCCACCATCCCTATCCCACCCCTCTAGGTGGTCACAAAGCACCGAGCTGATCTCCCTGTGCTATGCGGCTGCTTCCCACTAGCTGCCTATTTACATTTGGTAGTGTATATATGTCCATGCCACTCTCTCACTTCGTCCCAGCTTACCCTTCCCCTTCCCCGTGTCCTCAAGTCCATTCTCTATGTCTGCGTCTTTATTCCTGTCCTGCCCCTAGGTTCTTCAGAACCATTTTTTTTTTTTTTTTTTTTAGATTCCATATATGTTTCGGGAAGTTTTAAAAAAGTATATAGATTCCTTGGTCCCATCTTTGCAAATTCTAACACATAAGACTGGCTTAGGTGAGTATTTTAAGAAGCTTCTAGTTGGTTCTGATGCTGGGAAACATGGAGTATGTCCAGGTCAGGGCTGTCTTCAGTCACTACTGTAACTAGTATCTCACAGTAGTGAGCACCTCTGTGTGCTGGCCCGTCGCAGCAATGTGCTTTCTATACAAGCTATCTACGGTTCTCACAGCGACCCTACAGAGGAGGACTTATTTTCCCCTTTCAGACACTGGACACTGGTGAGACATGGAACTCTTCCGAGGCCTCCCAGGGGTAGAGGGCAGAGCAGGGGCAGACTAGGTCTCTGCCTGTCTGGCCTCAAGGCCGGTGCTATTTTTTCCATTCTGCCCTGCCGCATCTCCTACAAAACCTGCCAGCGTTTGAGAACTTTTTTACTTTGTAAGGTTTCCAGGAGCCCGTCGCCCAAGGCTGCCTGGCTGTCACCTGTCTCACCTGCAGAGAACCTTGCTTTGAGAGCCGGGGAGCAAGGGAGATTGCTGGCTAGGTCCCCACCAGCCCAGAGACACGGGTCACTCACACAGGGCTCCTCCTACATCACCCACGCCCCCTGAAATGGCTGCATGTGGAATCCTGTCCCCTCCGGGACTAAATGCGCCAGCTGCGCACCAAATATTCCACCTTCCAGTCTCCAAATCCCTGCCTTTCCTATAGGTATACACGTCACCGAGGTGGTAAGAGCAGTTTTCTTTCCCTCCTGAGAAAAGAAGCAATACCTGGCAGACTTCCTAGGGCCTATCAGTTGCCATAGCAACATTCAGATGTACGGGGTGGAAAGGTGCCCCAGCAACGCTTCCCATAGCCCTCCCCTCCCCCTCCTCCTCCTCCTCCTCCTCCTCCTCCTCCTCGAAGACAGAAGGTGAACAAAGAAGGAAGATGGGAAGAGGCCAGGCGTCAGCGGGTGCCCTGCTAGTCTGACTGCCCCCTGCAACAGGCTGAATCATGGCCCCGGCGGATTTCAAGTCAAGTGAGATGAGAATATACGCTGGAAGGTTTCCAAAGTGAGGATAAGGATGCTCACTTCAGATTCACGTGCTGAAGAGCATCAAACCAGAGGTGGTCCAGCCACTCCGGGCATCACTCACTCCACAGGGCTGCTGAGAACATGGAAACAAGGAGCATGTGACACAGGCGGCTACAGCGGCGTCGGGTCAGAAAGCTTGCCTGAAGGCAGAGAACGGATTGTTTGCTTGCCACCACTTCCGGTTTCCCCCTCGGGGGCCCCATGCTGTTTAGCTCGTGACTTACACACCCGACCCCACTCCCACACGCTCTCCCACAGGAGTGGCCCTGCCAGGATCTCCTATCAGCCAGGAAGCCGCCTGCACTCTGGTTTGCAGTTTCCCTCTTGAGTCACTGCTCTTCAAGTGGAGCGGATTAGGTTAGGCTAAAGGCAACCAGAGGAAAACAGCTGGAGGCTCACAGCCCTGAGAGCTCACTCAAGGGCGAACCACCTACCTGGATGGCTAAGTCGCCTTGGCTTTCTACGACACAGCCATCTGGAAATGAGCTTTTAAAACACCTCCCAGTTACACCGGGAACAAGCCTAAAGGGTGGACGGACACACACACCCCACCCCCCGCACACAGCTAACAGGCCCCCAAGTCCAGCCTGTGATGTTTGTGGGAGCCAGAACAGCCAGGAAAAGGCACAATACAAGCTGCTTTGGGAGCTCAGTAAGAACGAGTGCCTCTTGCGGTGGGCAGAGAAGGCTGGGACAAGCTGGGCTCCGGTGAACAGGCAGGACTGTTACTGGGGTGGAGGGTGGCCAGGAGCAGAGGGAAAAAAGAGGGAACAGCATGCACAGAGGCACGGTAAGTTACTGGCCCGGGGAACGGGAGGGAGGGAGACTGGGGAGGGCTGGGAGGGCTTCCGGCGCCATTAGCAATGGAAGGCCACCTGCCTGCCCCGCTCCAGTTCTTCCCAGGTTGGTCCTCCCAACACACACTTTTACCAGAGTCTGTGACTTTGCCCTCAACTGTTGTTCCAACCTCACATGCTTTTCCTCTCTTCCAAAAATCTACCCATCCTTTAAGATTCAAGTCACATCCTGTGTCCATCCTGAGTCCCTCCTGCGCGCAGGGACCTTCCAGGTCTCGGCGACCCCAGGGCACGTGTTACAACATCTCCCATTTTCCAAAGCATACCTCGCCGAAGTTGCTAACCCTCATCCTATGTTCACTTTGTCTTCTCAACACCCAGAAACATCCCTGGCGTGGGAACGTGACAGTACTTGAGGGTGAAAGCCAGACGTGCAAACTCCCCACTCCCCCTCAAATAATATCAGATGACCTCCTGTGCAAAGGTGGGTGTGGCTGGTAGGAAATGCAGTTAAGCTTGGGATTCTGCTCTTTCAGACCAGAGGGAACAAAGCCAGCTGGGAAAGAGGCACTTATTTCAGCCTAAGTTTTCTGTGAAACATACATGTGTCCAATGAATAAAGGGCAGCGCTGTCTTGCGATTCAGCAATCACGTTGTTATTGGCAAAAGCCATTTCCAAGCTTTCTGTGTAGGAAATTAGCTACAGGGAACACAAGAATTAATGAATTGTGTACTAGAAACATATGCTTCTCATTACTGAAATCCTGATGCTGTGGTGTGAGGCTGTTTTCCCACCTGAGGAACCTCCGCACACGTAAGAGATTCTTGGGCTCATGGCTGGACAGCCAGTGCCGGGAATGGTCACTGGTGACCGGACAGCCAGACAAACAGACCTCTGGAGAGTCTC